TCGCCTGATCCGGCTCAATGCTCAACACAATTAAATACACACAACAAAACAATTACAATTACAGTCAAACAATTACTGTCAAATAAGTAACACTCCTAGTTGAGGTTGTGTACAAGCTGGATATTTTGGCCAAGGTGGACGTAAGTCCACCTTGGCCAAAATATCCAGCTTGGCAAGCACAATTTCGAGAAGGAAGCTAACAGGAGAATTCGTTTAGGCTGTGCGGCATTTGGAAAGCTTTGCCACATCTTCAGGTCGTCAAACCCACAAAGCCTAAAAACTAATACATTTAACCAGTGCGTTCTACCAGTCATGTCCGTGGACATTAACAACAGGCCTTATCCACAAATTGATGGAGCGAGCTGTGCTTGGGGTTTCTCTGATGGACCAAATCCCTAACGAGGTCATACGTCAGAGAACTAAAGTGACTGACATAGCTCGCAAAATCAGTAAGCTTAAGTGGCAGTGGGCCGGGCATGACTGCAGGAGGATTGATCGCCGATGGGGCAGATTTGGAATGGCGACCACGTCAAGGAAAACGTAGTGTGATACGCCCTGCGGCAAGATTGACAGCACCTGAGCAAGGTGGCCGGTAGTGGCTGGATGCGGACGGCACAAGATTGGGAAAGTTAGCGTGGGCTAGGGGAGGCGTATGTCCAGCAGTGGATGCGTGTAAGCTGATGATGACGTAATTCCACCAAAATTGAAAGACGTGTTATGCGAATGAAGCTTTATACCTGACATTGTTTTTTAATTAGGTACAGTATTATTTATTTGACAGTAATTGTCTCGGATGTAAGTAAGCAAGGGAGACTTGCCAGGATCAAGCTAAATGTCGATTGAAGAGCCAATCCATAGATAGGAAGCTACCTCCTCAAAGAGAATCTAAAGTGATCGTATACATGGAAGTACTAGAAAGAAGAATAAATTTTTAAAATTCCGAAGATTACGAAAGCGAACTTATAAACCAATTTGGAAGTGGGGTGAGTCCTTTAAACCGATCAGTACCTATGTTGACAGTCGTTAAAACTTTATAAATTGGCCCAAACGACGTTTACTTCCCCTTTTGCTTAATTAAAAGTTTTCCCTTGCCAGTTGCTATCGTTAGGAAAAGAAATCATAAATATTTGCGGGCAATTTTTTTTTAAACTACGTTCCGTTTTACACGTATTCAGTTTCCATTTCGTAATTGTAACAGAAATGACATAAAATGGAAATTTTTTTTTATATTCCGCGCATATGTTATGATGACCTTGGTAGCCCAGCGATTAGCACAATAGGTGCTTGATGAGGAGATTTGAGATTCGATTCCCGTAAGGACCAATTAAGGAAAAACTTTTCTAAATTGGATCGGGGTATTCAAGGCAGTATTCCCATAGATTCGTTACGTGAATAGTCATGGTACAGAAATGTTTCTAGTTAGAGACCAGGAAGTAGGTGTAACAATATGGTACAGTTTGGACTTAGAACCGTTTTTATAGTTAGAAACGTAGAGTTGAACTTAAATCCTAAATGCCACACTTAACGAGCTCTTTCTGTATATATATTTTAATTATTACTTAAAAAAGATCAAACTAACACATAAACAAAAAAGTACCAAAGAGTAAAAATATTAAATTACTCGTGTTGTTTTTTTTAAATTCTTTCCAGTGAGGAAGTGGCGATGGTTGAAAGCCATACAGCGATAGTCTCGTTTTTGGTGGGTCTTCATGTACGAGTAGAGTTTAATATTTGATTGATATTTTCTTGCTCAGTGGTCTTCACTAGGAACTTAAAAGCAGAAGGGACACCTTCTACATGATAGGCATTATCGCATGTCTTCTTTTCTAAAAAAAATAATAGTTATTTTCAGTTAATCACATAAAATGGTTCCGGTTTTAAAAGATAAATATGTTGGCGGAAGCTACAGTCACATGGGACTTGTCGATTCTACGTCTCAAGGCGCAGTGGCACTGCGCCTGTTATAAATGTCGGACATTCTCGGACTAGTATTAACTACCACATATATCGTCATGTAATTACTAAACAATATTTCACAATGCAGTAATAGAATATTGTACGATAAAAAAATCGAATAATTGTATCCTTTTTACTCAGGTGTATATGTTTGTATATATGTATAGGATGTATATGACAGAGATATATATAGAGATTTTTTTTTGTATGTTATCCATAACGGACTATGGTGGATATAGTGACACAAGGCACAAGTTGTGCGCCTCGTATTAAGCGACACGCCTGTTCACAGCAGCTGCGGTGCTGCTCAGAGCTTTACACCGCAAATATCTGAGGGATACGGGCATTGCGCCTGTCACCCTGAGACAAAAGATGACAAGTCTCATGTGCCTGTAATTTCACCAGCACCCTTCTTACCCTTCAAAAACCGGAACACAGTAATGCTGACATTAGTGCTTGGCGGCAGAGGACACAAGGAGTTCTACTGCAAGTCATGTGAAGAGCATTCTTCCCCTACTACAATGTGACTTTAGTTGAACTCCCAACTGTATACAATTTTGTGAAATAAAGAAAAACTAATTAATGTTAGATATTACTGGTTGACGACTTTCCCGACTCAGCCGTGACCATGACACCTGTGAAGAGCTGGCGGATGTTGGTTTGTTTGAAAAAATAAATATACTTACGCGTTCTCGAACCAAAAATAATTGTAACAATTTATTTTAAAAAAAAAACCGACCTGAAAAGTTCGTGGAATTACATTTATTTGCCAAGGAAAATGCGCGAAACCAGACTCATCCCCTAGTTTGCCACCCTTGGAGTTCGAATATTTTCTTAAAATTTAAATGGGATCAATATAATAGGTACTCCAGACACCCTCTTTCCAACAAAAAAATCATCAAAATCGATTCACGAACGCTGGAATAATTCCGAATCTGCTCTTTTTCAAAAGTCGATTACAAAAATAGTTTAGTTTCCAAAAAAAACATTAATTTTCTTACAAAAATTTCAAACAACTTGATAGCATTATCGTCTTCTACTCGATGACGTTTCAAAGCGTATTACGTGAAGTCAATGATGTGTGACGAATGATTGGATGCACACCGTAAGCAATAAAAAAAAACCATTTATTGTAAGATGTTCAACCTAATGGAGAAAAGTAATTGCCTTCTTTAAACAGTACCGTTCATTCCGTCTATGCAGCATTCACGTGGTTTAGCGTATTTTGTTATAAATTATTTTTAATCTACTACTGCTATAAAGTTCTGCATTTGAGAAGGCACAAGCTATCAAAATGCTTCGTTGAAAATTGTACCTCAAGTCGTCCACATGAGGCTCAAAATTCCAAATTTGACAATCTGTGTATTTTTTCAGCTAGTCTCATAAAACTTTTCCTTATTTCAAGGTCTGTAACAAATGGGTTTCAGCTTCATTGGCTTTTTTGCTGATTCCATGATACAGTCAGCGAATTACGAAGGTTTGATCGTTCTTTGTTTTTTATACAATATACAACTGCGAACCTATGAAAGGAAATATAATGTTTCGTCAACAAATTTTCGTATTGAATACGACAAAATAGAACATCTTAAAAAAAACTTGCACGTTATTTGTATCTCTCTACCTAAATCACTTGACTACAATCTCATCTCATGGTACGTGTTTGTGTAATATATGTAATTAATTCTAGCCACGAATAGCTCCAAATTGTTTCGGGAAATACACATAAAGAAAAACTTGATAAAAATTATGACAAAATAGCAACAATAAAAAGCCTCCACCCATTAGTTTCCCATTCAACGTCAGTAATTAAGGAACAATCGGTTCTTATAAGCCATTTACAACAAAAGCTTAATTTGGATCCTTGAAAGCATTCAGAATAACATTCGGTAAGTCCCATCTTGAAGGAAACCAGAAGTTGGGCCGTCATCTGTTCTTTATAGCCCGGGATTTAATTTCGTATGACATTATTCACGTCTCCCGGTAAGTTTTTGTGTGGCTGAATATCGCCGGTAGGGTGGACATATAGCAGGACTGTGATGAACTTCTATAATTTATCACAAAATAGTGATATTTATCTTATCAGGTATAGGTTCACGTTTGGCAAACGTGACACTCTCGAACACACACATACGCAACACTCTCACCGAAGTGGGAATTTAAATCTGTTTAATTTCATATTCTTTTAAATTCGAGTCCAAGTCATAGGTAAGTTTAAGTTATAAAATCGTGATTTTGCTGATAACCGAGTACTCCTTGCTGTCGTCGACATCTGTCGCTATTTTGGAAGTTTTTGAATTTCATGACCAACAATATTCAGTGACACTGCTTCTACTTCGGCACATTGGTTCCATACAGCAGTTATTGTGAAATAGTAACCCCTTAACGACTACGTACTACTCACACACAGAAAGCTGTGTGCAGAACGAGAAATGCCATGAGGTAAGCCACACTTGGTACGATAAACAGAGTTTCGAAATCCGAAGACGAACTTAAATTTCAAGATTTAGGAAATCGGTTGTAAAACATGATGATATTCAATCAAAGAAGTAATAATTATGGTATGTATGCTAAAAATTTAACTGACAAAGGTAGACGTATCTTTTTTTTTAAGCTCATGGTAAGGCTATGACTATAAACAAAAAGCGATGTCCATTTCTACCAGTGCCTCCTGGTAACCCTAACTAAGGAAAAAGAGTTTATGATAGATGGCTGATCCATTTTTCATTACGCGCAGGAAGTTCAGAATGGGAATGAACGGGTGTACGAGATAAATACGCCGGTTGACACGATATGTTGAAAGGTGTAGTCTTCGTTAAAATGCCTGTACGTCAACGGCTTGGATAATCATGACACATAGGTACATGATAAGAGGCACTTTCGATGACAGCAGGACGAAATCCGAGACGTCGTTATTAATGCCACACATGTAGAGAAAACTATAGAAATACATGATACATTAAATATATTAAAATATCGTTGTGTGCACTCGCGATGAAAGTGGACCGTGTAGCAGGAATTTTAAAGGCGTAAAAAAAGTTTATTACCTTATCTCGAAGCATGTCGCGGACCCTGGTAGCCTGGTGGCGGCTGCGATGCAGCTCCAGCTGTAGCTCCAAGCATCGTTCCTGCCAGTTGATGGAGCCGAGGTCGGCGGCCGCCAGCTCATACTCCAACGGGTCAAGGCGCGAAGCTTGCGCGATTGGCCTAAAAAAATTTAAACGAAATTACTTTTTCGGAAATAGAAGTAAAACAGATTAAGTCCATAATAATGAGTCCGAATTAAAATTTTTAATATTTTTTTTGTTTTAATTTTTTTTTATATTTTTTTTACAAATGAACTTAAAGCATTTTGAAAAATGTATATCGTATACTATACGTGTTATATTTAAGTAGTTCAGTTGATATAAAAAAAAACTCTTAATGATCTCATAATCTTAAATATGTATGTAAAGTACCTATTGCGGTTATACAGCGATTTTCTTGTAAAATTTTGAGGTAAGTTTGTGTTTTTTTCCATCGTGAAAATTTTTAGGAATAGTGTTTTCACACTGTATAATAATCAGTGTACACTAAGTGAAAAGAGTTGATAATCTTTAAATAGATGTCCATCAAACGTAATTGAAAACCATCCCGATTAATCTAGCCTACAAATTAAAAAAAAACAGCTTTAATGTCAGTCCAGCCATTTGGGAGCTACAACGCCACAGATTTTCTAGACTTCAAATCGAATCAGGAGAAGGTCCATAGTTGATATGACAGAGACCATGGAAAGAATGTTGTGAGTATATCCGACCGGCTGATGTACGCGGACTGACAGGTAGATTTGTGATCTTTTGTTTGATTGTTCTCTCGACCAGACTGTTCGTAGCAGTAATTTGTTCCGGTTTTGAAGTGTAAAGGTGCTGGTGAAATTACAGGCACATGGGACTTGTCAACTGATGTCTCTCTTAGATCTCTGCGATTTAAAGCTCTGAGTGGCACTGCAACTGTTATGGACAGGCGTGTAGCTCACCATCAGGCGCACGACTAGTTCGTACCGTCACTTGATATTATAAAAATTAAACTGATCTTGTAGTGGACACTTTGATATTCTTTTCAGTTAGATATTTACTTTAACTTTAAAAACAAATCATCAAACAAATACCTGTAGGAGAGAGAGAAGAGAGAGAGAGAGAATCTTAGTGCCAAGTAGTGACATTTAATAAAGAGCGTTGTAAAAGAAAGAAGCTCTAAATCAATATTAACCGCTCACGCGACACATGCAGCCGTAGACGCATACCACACCTAGAGGTGCCGGTGATGATTTTATACCGATTTATCGGATATCGAAGTTATAACAGGTAATAGAACTAATATTAATTGCTATCCTTTTCTAATTTGCGAAACCAAATAGCCGCCATTTTGCGGTAGGAGGAGCGCATCGCGCGAGCGGCTATGGTCAAATAAAATTGATAAATGAAAAGCAAACGACGATAGACCTTAATGTCTATTACCATAGCGCGACTTTCAGCATTCTAAAGCACTGTTGTAAAACACTTAAATTTCAAAATATGGACTTAAATCCTTTACCGTTCACCTACAGATATATGGACTGTGAAATAAAGTTTATTTTTCCGATCTAATTTTTCCATGTCATTATTTTTCATCAAAAAATGTGACTTTTCTACCGACCGCTAACTAAAAGTGACGAAACAATTTTTGAGATATCATAAAAAACCAAGACCCAGTTTTAGAACATTGAAATTGTTTAATGATATTCCAGCTACGCATCGTTAGGGTAAGTTCCGATAAGTCGAAGACGTTAACTAATTTTAACTGCTTTTAAAAGAGAGTTTTGTGCTCTGTCTTATGCTATTTAAAACGGATATTTGACCATTTGACATTGAGCCGTGTTTTAGTCTGTGGTCGGCAGTTTTCGTCGCTTTACTTTCTGAAACTCGTATTTTTCAGAAGATGGCAAAACTTTCTATTTATATTAAATTTCTTATCAAGGGTGTTAATTTAGATGCATTACTTTAAGAATAGGTAAAAGCCAGTGCGTGAATATGAAGGAAATATGATGTGAAACGAAAAATTTGTATACACAATCCTTTTTTGCTATTGCAACCTGTATACCGTCAATCACAATTAAAAATTACATAATTTTTTCGGATCCAAAATCGCGATTCGTTTTTCAATCAAATCTACGTTCCGTTCTGTTTACAGGTCCCATAATCACGACGGACTGAAGTTGCAAAAGTCTAAGAACTCTGTAATTACAATTACAGTTCATTTTAAGATGTTACAGGCCCGCGTTGAATGAGGAAATCGAAACTCTTTACCATAAAATGTAGAAAATCGATTTCGTAAACAGATTGAATGAAAACATGAGGTTGCATCAAAACATGACGTGAACAGAGCTTCATAAATAAATTCACTACATTTGCGTGAACCCTGACACAGCCTATCTATTGAACGGTGCACCGACTCGGTAAACGGATTTAATCACGTACAGCGCATGCAGCGTCTCACATAGTTGACGAGATTTTACAAAATGTAAATAAAAAACTGTACACGACGGGGCTATTTTTGGACATGTTTAGGGCTTTTGACTTCATTTCACACGACCTATTATTGACTAAATTAGAGCACAACGGAGTTCTAGGACCGGCACTGAGCTGGCTAAAATCCTACCTAACAAATAGGTTACAGTGTGTAGAAATAACCCAAGTAAACACAAAGAATTGTACCGAAATATACAAATCTGACTTTAAAAGTAATCATTTCGGAATACCCCAAGGTACTATACTTGGTCCCCTGCTATTCCTATCATATATTAAAAATGTATGTGATAGCACGGAACACGAAACAATTCTTTTTCCGGATGATATTTCAGTGGTTGTCAATTCTCTAATAAAATTAACATTGGACGAGCATAAACACGAATTAAGGAAAACATTGACATCACTAATTGAATACCTAAAAAAACATAATCTTCAAATGAATTTACTTAGACTAATATAATGAATATTAATAACTTACGGACACAAACAGTTGACGTAGATTATAACGGACAAATTTTGCCAAACAATACCAATATGACTTTTCTAGGATTAATCGTAGACCAAAAGACGAATTGGAAGGATCAAATGGACAAAGTGTGTACTAAAACAAATAGGTTTGCGTTTGCTCTCTACAAATTGTCAAAAGTGAGGAATAAATGCACGGCTTTGACAGTCTATTTTGCGTATATTGAAACTGTACTCAGATACGGTATCATAATATGGGCAACGGCACAGACTTTGGGAAGGTTTTTATTGCTCTAAAGCGATGTATACAGGCCATCTGCTACGTAGCGCTTTATGTCTCATGTCGTCCGTACTTCAAAACGTTAAAAGTATTGTCCTTCCTATGCCTGTACATACTCGAAGTTGGTATATTTGTGAGACGAAATCTATCAAAATTCATAATAACGAAGGATGTAACTGCCAGAAGCCTAAGGAACCCTGATACTTGGTACAATACCCAAAACAAAACGTTTCTAAAATAATTCGTACGTTATGTGTGCCAAAATTTTTAATCATGTACCAGATCGCTTTAAGCTTCTTCCATTGACTAGTTTTAAAAAGGAATTGCGTAGGTGGCTCTTTGATCATTTGTTCTACTCAGTTGACTAATTCATGAAATGTAAGAACTAATTAATTGATGCATACATTTTTCTTTACAATTATTATTATTAACTGTAAATTATGACGTACACGATTATGACACCTCGCATTAAATCAATGAACTTTAATTTGTCAATTTATTGTCTAATTATTGTTTTTACATTTAGTCTTAATCTACCAGTGTATTATCTGATTATTGTATTTGCATGCTTTTATTTAAGAAGGCCGAATGGGTTTAAGTGCTGATTTAATTTTTACCATCAACATGTATAATGTAACCGTACCCTATTTGAAGCGAATAAATGAATTATTACAACAATGCAAATTAAATAAAAAACAAGTTTTATTTAACCTGCATTATTCTTTTTAATCCACCATTCTAGATAATCTTGGTGCAAGATAATAGACAATAGTTTAGTAAAATACAACGACAGACAAGAAAATGCACACTATCTTGACGATTTCCGAATTCGTTGCGTGTTTATATCGTACTACGCACGAAAATCCAGGATCTCCGATCATGGAACTCAAATGGGGCTGGGCGGGACACCTAGCAAGGCAAGGTGCCGACAGGTGAAGCATGACATCGACTTATTGGCAGCCGAGGATGGGCAAAAGAAGCGTCGGGCGACCTGTTGCAAGGTTTGATGACATAGTACACGTCGCGGGGCGTCAATGGATGCGGCTAACACGGGACAGTGGTGGATGGCACAAACTTCGGGAGGCCTATACCCAGCAGTGGATGAAATCAGGCTGTGGATGATGATGAAGATATATTGCACTATTATTTTTACTAACAACCATATCTCGTACTATCTTACACAGATTTTAAAAGCGAACGTTCTTTATTCATCGTTGTACAACGTAAACGTTGAATTTTTAACTGGCTTTTAAAAAAGAGGACGTTCTCATTTAACTTCGGTAGATACATTGAATCCATGGCCAAAAATGCAACCAAGAAGCTTGGCATCTTTTCCAAGGTGAGGCGTTACTTCACACCGGGACAGTTGCTTCAGCTGTACCAAGCACGAGTCCGGTCGTAAATGGAGTACTGGTGCCACTTATAGAACGGCTCTGCTAAATACCAACTGGTCACCTTGAATTCAATCGATAGCGTGAAAGAGAAATATAGGTGACTCGGAATTAGTAGAAGTGAGGCCGCAGAGCCTTGAACACCACCGTAAAGTTGCCTGTTTATCGTATTCTACAGGATATAACACGGAGAGTGTGCAATGGAATTGCATAATTTGATTCCGCCTTCCCCTTTCCACCATCGGGGGACTTGACGTGGGGTGCGATTCCACCCCTATGTTGTAGATATTCCCAGGATTCACACGAAGCGTTTCGCTTCCACATTTATATGGCGATCGGCTAGAGTGAAATTCACTACCTGCGGACTTGTTCCCCGGACACTATATCTTGGAGCTTTTCAAAGCGAGAATGAATAGGCATTTTTTAGGTGTGCATGCTACATCCTCGACCTCATCATCACCTTCCATCAGATGAGATGGAGGTCAAATACGCACATATTTTTTTATAAAAAAAATCGAGTGTATG